AGACGGAGAAAACCAGAGGTCAGGGGTTAAGACACAGGCTTCAGTTTTATCCACAGGAATAAAAAAAAAGTTAGAATCAAGACGCAGCCAGTAAGAACGTAGCAGTATAGCAGGCCGATCTGTGCTCACTTTGTTCGTTAACTTGCACCTGCCAATTGTAGTACGTCACATGAAAAGTTATGAATCATATTACGATTTCAGTTAATTTAAACGGAAACAAAACCTCGTTATTATCGTGTTCCAACGCAATGCACCGCGTCGAGAAATTCTCGTATTACCAGACAATGCAGTAACAGCAAGCACATCAAACGATTCAAAGACGCGGCCCTAATAACATCCCCGTGTTTAACCCCTCTCTTACCTTCTTGGAGGGCAAAAGCTGAAACACTGTGTGAAGTGGACGGTTGTCCTGATCTGTTGCCATCATCACTGCCGTAAACAAATCCTCGTACATGTTGATGTCATCGTCCGGGTTGGTCGAGCTTTCTGACGTGTCCTCCGCTGCTTCGGATTCCTGCTTTCTAGCCTCGGCAGCCGCAACCCTGCGAGCCTATAACAGCAAATGTTAGGAACGTACAAATAAATTTCAGTAGAACTGGCCAATAACAAATTTTATGAAAATTCAATCAGCGGTTCTCATGCTGATACAGACAGACATGGCAGAACTAATAATCGCATTTTTTCAGCTTTTACTTGTGAACACACTTTTATTACTTAGGTAATTTCTTACCATTTTACCAACTTTCAGTATTAGCTTGCCCTTTTGCTCTGGCACCGTTTCCTCTGCTGGTCGCTGGTCCTCAAGAAGCCTGCTCTTGGACGAAACAAACAAGTCCCACAGCTCACAAGCATCTCGGTACTCTTGTGACGTTCGCTACACGACCCAGAAAAACATACACATAAACAAAACATAAACTGTTACACAAACCAACATGCAGCAGTTGTTTACAACCAACCACAGAATTTTCATTATCAAACCCAGTATTAAAATGAAATCCGTGGCGTAACAGCTCCAGAGAGCCAAAGCCGGCTAGCTTGACTGCTGGCCTCACGTTCACATGCCTAAGTAGAGGTGAACGATCATCCAACCAGATATAGGATGACGTGTGGTCAGCACGACGAACCCCCAGCCATTGCTAGTTTTCATGACCGGATTACGCTACTCATTGTAGCTCCCCAATTTCCTCACGATGCTGGATTGGCACCGGTCTCATACACTGGTCGAAAGCTCATGAGAAAATTTCTTCTCCCGCCCGAGACTTGAACCAGCGCGCATTCCGTATCACCGGTCCGAAGCATGATGCCTCAGACCGCGCGGTTACGGCAAGGTCATATTACATTTCTTTTATTTTATTCTCCATTTACTTCTAAAAGGTTTCAATTCCTCTTACTATGATGACTATTATCACAATTCTTATATATTCTACATTAACCATTACCTATGCCATTTTACTCATATTTTTCTGACGTAGTAAATAACTAAATTAATTAAATAGTATTTAATTACACAAAATCACCCATTTTACCACATTAAAAATAATAGTAAGACAATGATATTTACTATGTTTTAGTTTGTTTAATGTAGCTATAGGTTAATAGTCAACTGAATTTATTAAAAACGATGGAAAGAATCTATTACCTTATAAAATGCCTTAGCATTGCTGATCATTAGTTGGACATCAGATGTGAGTTCGTCGACGTCTTCATACTCATCTGTTTTCAGTTTCTGCTGCAGTTTCAACAGGTCAATCGGATTTGACACAACCTGGTGAGAAAAATGATTGACAGATTTTTCTGTATACTTCCAGTACGTTATTGTTTTTATTTAAATATTTACTTGATTGATTCATTGGATATTTTAAATAACCACTTGTATAAAAATAATCTATCACATGCACCAAACAAAGTTCAAGAGCAATTTGCAAATACTACGAAAAATCAGACTGAAGAAACACATCATGAGAGTCGGCCATTAAGTGCCAACGCAAATATTAGCCTCACGCTGAAATGAATCATAAAAACACAACTTAAATATTATTTGTATATATTATATGCAGCTAAATAGTTTCATAAATTGCAATGAATCATAAAAACACAACTGAAATATTATTTGTACATATCATATGCAGCTAAATAGTTTCATAAATTGACAATGATTTATTTACCTCGTAATATCCCGGTTCTTGACGACGCTTTGGAACACGTATGAAAGCATCACACAAAAGTGTTCCATCTTCCTTCTTGTGGTTACGAATTGTATCGTACAGGTGATGGCACAACTCCGCCTGGAAGTAGCAAAATGTTGTGAACTTCAAAAATTGAATTTATTGTTTTTATGTAAGATAAGAGAAGAACCCTTTCAGTTATCCATTTTAAAATGTTTACCCTCTACCACCACACATTCCCTCATCAATTAATATTAAGTTTTAAATATGGTAATGCTAGTATTACATCACTACTTTGTGTGAAAGAACATCAAAAGTTATTAAATGTCACATCAATTCTCAGCATAGCTTCTCAATTACATTTTTGCAAGATGTTCTTGAAGGTCCCCCTCTTGATGCCAAATAAAGAAAATATCCCTTGATGTAAACTTCCAGTACTCACTGGGTCCAACTTCTTCTTCTTTCGAGAAGGTTCTGGTGCAGAGTCTTGTTCACCAGATTCTTCATCCTGGCCACGACTTGCAACTGATGATGTGCGTCGACGTTTATTCATGACTTGATTGCTGTAAATGTAATTTAAACAGGTTCTGAACAGGTTTAGACAGGTCTGGACGTGTTTCAACAAGTTGTGGACAGTTTTGGGGAGGACTGTATAGATCCTGGCAGATGTGTGATTATTTTTAAAAACTTTAGATTTGACAACTGAGACATATCTAGTTTGACAGACGAGGCAATAAGCACCTCTCTGAAACGTCTGTCAACTTCTACGAGACTGCACAACCCAATATTTCAAATGGCTATCATCTTCCGTCGTTTTCCTCAGTTCCTCAAAGCAAGTGCCAGTTTCGTTTCCCTTCACTTCCTTTCCAGTTCTTTCTGAAATAATCATCTCATCATTCGACACTATACTCCGAGGTATCAACAGCGAAATTACACAATAAATAAATAAATAATCACATACAGTAAATTAACATAACTTTTTGTCAGTAAGACAGAACCGTATCGCTTGTGAAGAAGCTTATAACTTACCTCTTTTCAGTAACCTATATAAACACAATCTTCAGCTCATATTATTCTTAATACAATAAAGAATACCACAATACAATTCGTTTCTAATAGACACACAAAAACCATTCACTAGCACATCTTAAACCGACTTAGACGCCCGACATTCTTCGTCACATCACCACGGCATCACGGATCAAAGAGTTCGGCCTTCTACAGAGATATGCCGCTGTAGTATTGACTATTAAAGTAGTTCTACGCGTCTACCCTGCTGCCATCTGTTTACCATAGGGGAAAATATATCTGACGTAAGCCGGAAACAAATACAAATTTGACCCTCTCAGCCACCTCTCCGTGTGTATCTGAATAATGCCCCGTTTAAGCACTCTAGTAAAGAATTTCTGGATATACCAACAGCAATAACCCCAATGTAAAAGCTGCAAGCTCACAATATAAAAAACTGAACGTTTATAAAAAAACGAATAATTGTATTTAACCTCAGAATTTTTGTTCACAGAACCTCTAAAACTTTCCAATGCAAAATATATCTTCTTTAAATGTTTCCAAATACAATATCTGCTTATAACATATTACGATACCACATGTCATGACTCAAGTAGTTTGCATTCATGCTTCATATCCAAAGTCTCTAGTTAAAATACCTTGCCTGGAGACCAGCTGTGTACCAAGGTTTTTTGGGGTTTCACTGTCCCCAAAAGCAAATGCTGCGATAATACTTTAAATTAGGTGATGACTGCTTTCATCCATATCCTTTGCAATTAAGTATTCATTAATCAACCACAATATTACAAAATGTTGTCCACCATTCTTGTAACAATATTAACTCCAATGTATACAAAATAAGTTGGGAACAAAAGGTGTATTTCAACATAATCAACTAACTACTGACCAGGTAAATGTACATTGTGACAAGTGTGTTTTATTTAATTTAATCGAACTAAAAATTTTATTTCAATTTCTTACAAACTTCATCGGCTACACAAATCAAAAACTTCTCACAAAATAAACATTTTATGAATAAATTCCGGCAGGCTGAATCATTATAGTACAACAATGAAGTACAATTCTAGTATTCCTAATATTTAATCACACTGTAGAATATCCTGTAGCAGAGTTATACTGGCTGGTGCAGTCGTGAACAGGCTTCCTGCAAGCATAAAATGTATTAGTACCATAGAATGTGGAACATGAGACTTAACAATACAGACATACATAATTATGACCATTTAATAACCTTTATTAATCCGTAGCACAACTTCGGAGGGGAGTAAAGCCGGCGGTCCCATGTCATAGATTTACAGCACGTAAAAGAGCTTTATGAGCATGAATGAGATGTTTCATAAGCAAAATTCAGCAGCCATTTCTCACCCAAGTCTCCTGATTCACTGCTAGATGGCTCTGGCAGTCAAATCAGGATTGAGTAGAAATTGGGCAGAGTCAGTGGGTCGGTCACTCACTACCCACAAATGCACACTTCAAAGACCAAGAAACCTCCGAAAAGGAGGCGACGAAGACCCACAACTGGGTTGTAGAGCCAAGAAACAACAACTTAATTAACCTTTATTGCCCTTGTGTCATTTCTTACACACAGTCAAACTTTATTCAGTCATATTAACATACCGCTGAAGAGTCAACACGGATGTAAAGTAGTACTGGAGTTTAAACTGCGTCTTCTCGTTACAATAAAGGTTAACAGAGCGATATACATTCTCGCATTTTTGGAGCAAAACATTAAACAATCATAACCATGTACATGAAACCATTCATTCATAATGTAATGTAATTAAATTAAATTTCAGTGAATATTTTGAAGTTATTGCCAATTCATCACAGACTATGTCTGTTCATTTTTTGTTATTGATCACACTTACCTATGAAACTGCGAGATCTGTCACATTCACTACTTATAATTTTGCAGTCGCCATGATCCTTTATCTGATAATCCAAACAGTGTAATCTTTCATCCACTTCATACACTGCTGCTGAATGAAATGGAGTAAAGTATGGACGACCAGAGAACGGATTAACAAAGTCTGCCCAATAGCCGGCAAGTCTCAACTTCATGCAAATCTCTTGTGCTGCTAGAATAAACTAACAAAACAAAACAAACATACAAATGAACTAGCAAACATGTCAATTATTTTCATAAGTTTCTTTTTAAAAAAAAGTACACTAAAATACTAAAATTCTTATTCATTATTGCAATATTTTGGATATATATTCCCAATGATGTTTTGTAGACCACAATAAATCTTTAAATAACTTAAAGTGACGAGTAAACCGCATGATTTTCAAGCATAACGTCATGCAACAATTCTGTGGTAAAAGCCCTCTTCTTCTTCTTCTTCTATGGCTCTCCGGTCCGTATTCGGTCCATGGCCTCCTCAATTCTCCTCTTCCATTCGGTCCTCTGTTATGTCCGTCTGTCTGAGGCTTTGATCGAGGTTTTGAAACGTCTTCCTTTTTATGGCACAAGGTTGTTAGCCTTGCAACCAACACCCAACCTGGAGGACCAGGGTACCTGTCTTAGTCTGACCTCTCCCCCTCGACCAATCTGGCTAGGGAGGTCCTACCAGTAGCTCTTGGGGTCACTGAGGTACTCAAGCCCCATGACCATGACAAGATGCAGGTACCATTAAGGTGGTAAAAGCCCTACGACATGAAAAATAGTATACTGGTAATTCTTACAAGTTTTGTAACTTTTTCCTGTTCAGTTTCCACCTCGTGACCTGCGTGTATTAGGTCAGTAGCTGTTTTCTGCGATAATGTAACAATTGTTAGGTCAAATCCTTCAATGTCTGTCCTTGAGAACAGCTCCATCACACCTGAAATACAAGAATGCATATTGACACATAAAACAGTCTACAAATGAATTTGTCTATAACATATCACAGGGAAGCTTCTGAGAAGGCAATAATGAATCAGGGTTTCCAAGTAGCTGAGTTACTGTAAACTACTCAATTAGACATTGCACATTTTTAGTGAAATCAGAGATGATGTGAACAGGATTAACTCAATGGACAAAACATAACCTCACTTCACCATTCTTTAATAACATACACATACAAATTGGGCTCAATCACACAAAAAATAAGAACACAGGCTATTGTAACTAATATATATATATTTTATTATAAATAATAAATAAATGTCATGATGCATACACAGCGCACTGGCAAATTACAAATTCGAACAGAGACGTCGATGTGGTCAAAGATGGAATAAATAATATCTCACGGTTCTAGGCAGCAGTGAAAAGAATATGACTGTAAATTGAGATATAAAAATGAGAGCGGGGGAAACCGACCAAACAGAATCCACGTTAACACTTCCACGGCGATGGGCATAAACTTAAACCACGAGAAAGTTTGAGGCCAAATAAAATTTAGAAGCCGCACCCACGAGTTCCCCTTCACTGGCTCAATGCTATCTGTTAATTCAGGGGTAAGATGCAAATCCCCAGGGTAGAAAAAGTGCGGCAACAGAAGAGCCAATATGACGGAGCAAAGGCATGGCTCAGCTGAGCTCAGCTCGTGTGAAATGGAAGGGAGAATAGCAGAAGTGACACAAATTAATTTTGACTTTGTAGAGTTCTAGAATAATATTCTGTGTGACGTAATAACACGTACCTCTTCTCAGAAGCAAAGGGCAGATTTGAGCTACACATTCCACAGCATATTCTAAGGTCTGGAACAAAAAACTCAGCGGTTTTATCAACTTTAAATCAAACCACTGCTGAAGAACATGATAAACAAAGAAATCTCGATTCAAACAAAACCCACATACGTGTAGACATAGAAGAAATATTCAGAAAAAATTTGTGCGTTCAAAACAGATCTAGCAAAATTTTCATTCTCACTGTACACTCAGTAATGAAGAAAAAATATCAGTGCTGGAAAGTTGACATGACTGAATCAAGTAATAAGTTATCACAAAAGATTCAATTGTATTTATAACAACAAAGCCAATTTGTACCTTCTTCTTGCTCTTATCAGAATTTATTCCTTGGAACTCCTCTAAGTGAGCGGTAGTTACAGTATCATGCCATGCTGGACCCACATTGCCAGGCATGTAGAAGCGGTAACCCCTCGGCGCTAGTAATTCCCAGTTGGGGCTTGTTCCAATGGAATTGTTAGCAGTTTCTGAATCGCACAATAACATATATAAGCATGAGGTCTTTGATGAAAACATGCCATTAAATTTAAGCATATTAATGGGTGTTTTCCTTTGTCCGTAAGTTATAAAAAATCAACATTTCAGAAGCTCTGCGTCCATCTACATAACCTAATAAGTTGTTCCACTGGATAAGCTAATCTCAGATCTGACTGACTAGGCTTTAAAATTCCATGTTCCATGATGATGGTAGCAGAGCCAGCTTTTTAAACTTACTAATGAATATAAATGTCCATTAGCATGCCCACCAATAACTTTCAGAAATTTCTGCCATATTTGATCCTTATCCACAAGAGATAAAGAAAAATTTGTTAATTATTTAGTGATGCCATCAGTAGTTCAGACTATAAAACATCAAATGTTGGTTACAATTAATAATAAATTAACAGAAAAACATTAAAGGACATGGTTACAGCAAAATTTAAGGTATGATCCCAAAATTTGTGTGGTGATATCTAAGTAAAACCATGAGAACCCCATGAGAGCCAGTTTTCAGTCAGGCTTGATATGAATCCACGCCTTCTCTAATATGAAGCTGGTGTACTAACCACTTGGCCATGATATTCAATGGTAAAGACAGTTTAAAAAATCATTACACTGTCATCTACCTTTTTCGATAATATTATATACATAACACAGTCAAGAAATTCCCCGTGTTTTATGGAACCAGAATGATCCCTGTGTTCACAAGATCCCACTTTGTCCGAGGCACTGTGTAACATTTCACTGCCACTGCCCAATATCCCAAGGTAGAACACTGCCCTTGGTCAGCTGACTGCTTAACCAATATATTTATAGCTACCATCTATACAAAGAAACCATCCCTTCCATCAGCAACCTGAGAATGTGCCATGCGATGATAACAAAGGGCAAACCTCACATGATCCACTACACACATATTTAACACAAATACACAAACACCAAGTCTCCTACAGTTCAGAAATGCCTTCAAACTCTGAAAAAGTATGTCTTTAGACCGAGATAAGATCATTTCATTCTCAGGGTATTATGTTATTTAAATATATTGATAAGCATATGTAATGTACCACTGATGGTGACTAGGTAAGGACTTGGAAGGAGGCAATTGTGATGTGAATTATGAGATAACAAAATGTCCTTGACCTTACTAACCATGATCATAACGGAGTACATGACTAAAACTTAGACATGTCTCAACTGACATGTTATAAATTTGATTACCAAATCAGAAGAAATCTCAAATTCCAAAATTTTGTTAGTTTAATATCCATACACTTTCATCATTACCATCAACTGATTTTCTGTTTTTTACTGGCTTATATGAATCTGCACTTTTCGAATCACTGCGTCTGGAATAAAATGCGCAGGAAATTTTGTTGATATTCCTAAACAAGAAAGTCTGTCTCTGAGGGCACCACATCTGAAAATTGAAAGCATACTTATTAAGGAGCACACCATACCACAAACACAAACATTAATTTATGATCGAAACAAACACAAAATACATTTATAATGAGTTAAAGTTACTCTTTTAAATGCCATCCGACACCAGTTTTCTTAACATTTTCTTAGTAACATAGTAAACGTAGAATTTTACGGCCCAGACACCACACGTAACACTTCTACATCAACATTCGAAACATATCTGACCGTCAAGAACTAAGTGTTATGCTGCCATCTATCGGTAAATTCAATACCTACAAATGTTTCTACATTGACCTCGTCGTTCCAATCAGTAGTTGCGCCGAGCAGTATTTTCTTTAGTTAAGTTACTTACGTCTCTGCAATTCCATAACTCAACGGATTATCGTTTTCTTTGTGATTCGGTGACAGACGAGTTCGAAGAAAAAGTACCTCATCGTACACACGCATACAGCAGCAAGAAATCAGATTAAATTCCAGTGTAAATGGACGATAAATTTTCGGCAAGGAATTGGTGAATTTGAAAAATGCGAGATTGAATATGGTGAGACAGACCGACAATTATAGGCCTATTTGTGTTGCGTGCATGTATATACCAAAGGCTACAGATGTTTTTTTTTTCCATTGACGCCAGAGTCTGGGAAAGAAGGATTAGCCATAGGTTGTATAACAGACCACGATGAAGCCTGGAGACCTCCAGTAAGAGGCCTTCCAAATTATGTCAGTTATCAGACGTTTTTCGGAATAAAATCTGCTTCTCCAATACAGATAACGCTCTAAATCTCCCACCCAGTCGTTTAACGCTGAAGCCGAGAGAGTAAGATACGAGCAGTAGCTCTCTTTCTCTCTTTAATACCACGAAGTGCACAGAAATGTATTTGCATCTTCCTCCTAAAATATTAGCCAAGAAATTTCCCGCCTTTTATTGGAACCAAAAGTTCATTAACACGTTCACATCAGCCCATCACTGGTCCTTATCTTCAGCCAGATGAATCCAGTTCACCTTCGCACCCTGTCATCCTCCCATCTACTCTTGGTCTTCCGAGTGGTCTCTTTCCTTTAGGGTTTCCAATCAAAATGTCCCCATGCGTTACATGCCGACAAATCCCAATTGTGGAACGAGCCATATGTATATCATTAAGATCTTAACGAGCATGGAAGCGTGCTGAGTTATGCCTGCAATCACTGGAGTAGGCACGCCCGCACGACACACGCGTCAGAGAAGTTGCCGGCTGAACTATTCAGGCGATAATGTATTAAAATCAGTTTGCATGACGCGAGACCACTGGAATATTACTGAAAACAGAAACTTCCAGGCTCGTTTCCTTCTTAGAATTGTACATAAAAATATTCATCAAGACGATTATTCTCGTCACGCAGTTGAATTATTAGACAAGGTAATTTCTCGTTAAAGAACTTCGACCTCGTTTTTCATTCTGTTCAAAATAAGAGATATTTTAGTGAATAAATAAGTTAATAATAGTCATTACATGTCCCATTACAAACAGAATAGTATTATTTATCAGCATGCCACACTGTCATTATAATCGTAAGTGGGTCTTCAGCAATGACTCATGATTCATCGTCAGGAAACAAAACAATAAATCTGTATTTTTTGGGGTGCTGAAGTTTTCGACAAAGAGACATTTTTAGTACTACTGAAAAAACATACAGCATAAATGTGCAGGCTTCTGCATTGAGATAAGTTCTTCCTTTAAAAATTCGAAATTTCGACAGTTTAGTTACAAAATATGGCATCTGCCGGTTTCTACCATAACGATCAGATAAGAAGTTTGTACAAAAAAATACACTCATCTTCCTCTAAGCCTTCCTTCTGTTCGTAAATCAAAGAATTGGATATCATGAGTTAATATAAGCATCTATAATTTAAGCATGTAGCACGAAAATGGTAGAAGAGAAAATGCATACAAAATCTTGATTAAGAAGTTCGAAGGTTGAGAGACCATTCGGAAGATCGAAGGACGTACAAAGGATGATAATATTAAAATTTACCCTAGAGAAACAGGATGGAAGGTTGTTAATTGAATTAATCTGGCTCGGTATAGAGATCAGTGGCGAGCTCTTGTGAGCGCGGTAATGAATCTTTGGGTGGAGGATATTTGATTCTCTGACGACTATCAGCCTCTTAAGAACGATTCTGTTCCGCGGAGTTGATAGTGAGGTAGTTTCTTCGCTTATTGCCTTACTTAATTCTTACTAATTTTCGTTTATTTGATCATTAAAGTGATATTTTAGAGACCACAAGTTATAAAATGTTCATGGATAATGGAATATGTGAACTGAAGATTTAATGTAAGTCACGAAGAAAAAGTGACTACACTTTCGTTCTTATGCTCCTAAAAGCTTTATAAAGATGAGCTCACTCTTATTCTGAAAAAAAAAGCTCTCAAACTGGAATCAATATCTTCTAGAATCTCTATAACTTCTCGTCCTTTGAAGATCTGATCTCAAAAACTCAACTTTTTATTTAACTCGATAAAACGTCTCCAAGTGCCAGTTGAATATTAGCTCCTGAAACTTATTTTAAATGACGCGTATTTTTTTTTTACTGGAATTCGTACGTCTCTTTGTCCTATGAAATTTCTTTGTATCTGGAAAACTTTAAGTTGATTTATTTAGAACAAAATTCTCTAAAGTGTAATATTAATAAACCGCTCACAAGACTGCAGTACAAAGTAAAAAAAAAATGTATGTATTCATTATAAACGCATTGTGTGTTCTTCCGTATATGAATAAATGTTAATGTCTTCATACGTTAAATATATTCATCGTATATTACTTTATTTTTCCCGCCGGCAGATAATAGCTTAATCATTGCGTTGTAGCATCTTAAAGCCACAAAGAGGTTAAATCCGAGGCTTTTCTAAAATATTATATATTTCAGTCCGTACCGCAAAGAAAACACTAAACTTCACAATTACATAGACCAACTGGTTAACGCAATTTAAGAAAATAATCGTTGTTTCCTCTGAGATTTATAAAAACCCATAAATACAAAATAGAGCTTGAGCGAATTAAAACAGATGGTACATATAGTAACCACTCGGCTTTAAACGGTTAACTGGACAGGGTCCTATGGTGGACACGTAGGCCTAATATGCCTGTTGAATTTTGCACGTGACGTGTAATCATCTCAGCTGCAAAGTTAATTGGTAGGAGGAGGAAGACTTGACGTCAGCCACTTCCTTTCTTCCGGAACAATCAATTTACGGGCCAGTTCACGTGACGAGTGCGTCCCAATCGCAGCGCGATGTAATATATTGCAACACACAAAGCAGTGAGGGTCTGGGCATTCTGGAATACAACCATCACCCTCCGTAATAACACAGCAGCAAATGCAAACTGATTCTGTAATGCGTCT